AAGTGTATCTGATTTGTACACTGCAAAAGCATTTACAAAACTATGCAACCATTCCAATTTTGATCAATTAGTGCTGTAAGGGTGATGTAAAGAAAATTGTCAAACAATTCTACTGAAATCTTGGGCTAAAAGCATGAAATTTCACTTGCTCAACAAATGAATTATAATTGCCAGGCTAGCATATTGTATTCTCCCAGAAGCATGTATACTGTACAATGTCTTATCAAAGACTTGAGACACATGAATTCAGAAATTGGCTCAATAATTAAACACTGCAAAGCAGAGTTTGTTACATGGAACCACCAATCAACATAAGTGGTTTCTGACATAAAAAAGTCTCCATGGAGCTTAATGCTTCATCGGCACATCCCTGAAATAGCAATAGAAAGTGTATCTGATTTGTACACTGTAATAGCTTTTACAAGTGTATCTGATTTGTGAATAGGCAAAAACACGTGTTACAGAGAAAGAAAATTGGTATTCTGTGACAAATATTCCCTCTTAAATATTGAGTAAGGCTGTAATGTTTATATGTGGAAAGGGTTTAGTTTAATTACTGAAGGTGAATGATTATAAAATCAGTAATATATATATATATATATATATATATATATATATATATATATATATATATATATATATATATATATATATATATATATATATATATATATATATATATACATGTCTCTGCCTATGAGGACTGTTTAATTCAAATTTTATGTTAATTCTTTTCTTAAAGTATGAATGATTTTGGTACTGAATGTGGTATCACTAGAAAAAAGGCTGAAGTTTATGAGCATTTGCTGTACTGCACATTACATATATTATCAAACAGGTATTGCTTACAAAAATTACAAAGTGCATTAGCTGTACCTCACATTACATTTATTATCAGACTGATATTGCTTACAAAAAGTACAACTGTACTGCACATTAACTTTATTATCAGACTGATAATGCTTAAAAAAAGTACAAAGTGCAATAGCTGTACTGCACATTACAAATCAGACTGATATTGTTTACAAAATGTACAAAGTGCAATAGCTGTACTACACATTACAAATCAGACTAATATTGTTTACAAAAAGTACAAAGTGCATTAGCTATACTGCACATTACATTTATTATCAGACTGATATAGCTTACAAAAAGTACATAGTGCAGACCTGCTGGATTACTCTTTTATTGTGTATATATTAAATGCAGCTATGATCGCAAATGAATCCTATCATAATAACAGGTAAACAACATGTTCTAAGTGAGTAATACACATTATTAATGGCTTACAGTCTAATTACATTAGATTTTAAATATCAAACTTTCAATATTTACCTCTCTTATCTCTTATAATGATAGACCACTTCAGTAGCCTAGTGGTTAGAGCATCCACATCAGATGTGGGAGGTTGCAGGTTCGAACCCCAGCCAAGTCACAGCAAAATCTTACAAAAATGGTACTAACAGCTACTTCACTAGCTACTCAGCTTTAAGTTTAGTATTAGGACTGGTTGGCCAGGTGTTTATAATGTGACTGGGTGGGAAATCATGCTACATGTCTGTGGCATGATGTCCCAGTGCTAGACATCACAATAAACTACTACAATACAGACATCATAGCGATATGACTGACAAAATGATACTACTTTAAAAATCTAAATCACACACACACACACACATACATACACCAAAACACACAACACATTCACCAAAACAAACACACACACACACCAAAACACCTCACACCCACACCCCAAAACACAGACACACCAAAACACAAATACACACACAAACACCAAAACACACACACACATGCACACTCTTATGCTCATACATATATATTTTGGGATGTAAGTCATCACACATTCCAAAAATGGTGAAAGTAAATATCAGACAATAATATCTACATGTGGCATATTAGGTGACAGGGCTGACATATAAAGAGGTGTCAGGTGTAAGCATAGATCAAGCAAATATCAAGCTCTACAATTATTTCATTTAAATAGTATCATTTTGGTTATGGTATACTCTTTAAACATTGCAGCCTTAAGAATGAACTGAACATATGGAACATTTCTCCAATGATTTTATCTCAACTTATAGAATCCTCTTACAATCAAATTCCAGCTATGTTTAATTTATATTTTACTTGTGTCCCATCACATCAACACTCAAGTGACAACTTTTCTCCCAGTTATTTAAGTATGCAATAAAGATAATCTATAAATAATTATCCATATTCAGTTATTTAAGTATGCAATAAAGATAATCTGCAATAATTATTCATACTCATTTATTTAAGTATGTAATAAAGATAATCAACAATAATTATCCATACTCAGTTATTTAAATATGCAATAAAGATAATCTACCTTAATTATCCAAACTCAGTTATTTAAATATGCAATAAAGATAATCTACAATAATTATCCAAACTCAGTTATTTAACTATTGAATAAAGATAATCTACAATAATTATCCATACTCAGTTATTTAAGTATGCAATAAAGATAATCTACCTTAATTATCCAAACTCAGTTATTTAAATATGCAATAAAGATAATCTACAATAATTATCCATTCTCAGATCCTATACTTTGTACTTTGCTTGGCTCAAAAGCTGGTATTCAATCTTTGATGATGGTTCAGTTTTTGTCTCATAATTATTTGTGATGATGGAAACTACTTGGTAATGTGTATTACCAGTTCAATAGGTGACACATTACTTTACAAGAAAAATCTTTAGCACAGATTCAATTAAATTCCACACACCAACATAAAAATGTAAAGTTTACAAGAATGTGGCCAGCTCTATTTTTGCCTTAGAAGATCAGCTGAACAACTAACTGAATGCAATTCAGTTAACATGATTTTCCAATGACAGAAAAAAAAGACAATAAGAAATTAAAAAAAATATGACTGGACAGCTTCAACACTTATACTGTAGATTTTGGAGCTGTAAAACTAATTTTAATTATGTATTTAATGCTGAACTGTTACTATTACTCAACAAGTACTTTTCCAGGAGGAAAAAACCTAACTGAATGATTAAAATTTTGTCCTCCCATTACAGCAAACCAGAACCTTCCAGAACACTGGACCATCCCTGCCTTAGAATCTAAATATACTAACTCTGCATTATGGTGCCTTTTCATTATTTTGAGGGAGCAGCCTAACTTAGTGAGACATCAATGCAGGATGACAAGAGAAACTCTGGCAATAGCACCAGGAATATTATTAAAGTTAGTTTTATCCCCCCCAAACTACATTTTAATATCGGCAATAATATAACTCTTGTTATTGCATACCTTAATTTGTCCAGCTGGTGGGTGTTTTCCGAACACTTCGTTCCACCCATGACGGCCTGTGAGTTATTACGTCGAAACGACATATTCAGTTCAATTCAATATGATACAAATTCAATTCAGTATTATCAATGCTTTTAAAATGTTTAATGTGCTTATCAATTCAATTGAAACCAAGTTCTATGATGTAACTGTAAAGTCAAGTAATTGTTGTTGTTGTTGTTGTTCTGGGGCTCAACGCCATTTTTCAGCACACGATAGGCTATACATGTTGGCCATTATTATGGTGGAGTAAGAAACTGGGAAATCCGCAGAAAGAACCACCGACCCAAGAGAAACTACTGGCAAGCATTTCTCACATATCCACATTCGCTGAATCCTAGACCCGAACCAACGCAGACAGATGTGAGATGGCAGTGAGCCGTAACGGAGAGTGCCTTAGACCACTCGGAGACGTCAAGTAATTGTCACACACACACACACACACACACACACACACACACACACACACACACACACGAGTTATTGGCTACAGCAGACTAGTTTAAAAATGAGAGTCTCTTGCTAATTTCTTTTAAATGTGCTACTTTAACTTTATTTATTATTTCTGGAAAATAGGGAAATAAAAATTCTTGAATTTAGAAACTTTGTTTTCATCAGTTTTGATATGCTGTATCTCCTCAGAAAAAAATCCTGGATTTTTAAACAAAATTCAAGTTTTACAAAACATTTGTTTTAAATGCAACCCACTAAATCAAAAATTTGTTCAAGGTTGTAAAAACATCCATGTCATTTTTTACAACGAATGAAATTATTACTGAGCTATATTAAACAAATCAAATAAGAATTTTTAAAAAGAAGGAAATGACTAAAGCTGAAAATGAAGCTAATAAACGGGAACAAAACGTATGGCAAGGAATAAATTGGGGGGGGGATAATTTAACTGCAAAACCGAGTTTTGTGTCTAAGGAACTTATATTAGAGTTACCCAAACTTTTTATTTGCGACCCTAAATATAAATATTTTCCGAGCCTCGCGATAATGTTTCCACAGTTTGATAAGTTTTGCCAGGCTCAAAATTTTATGGCGACCTTCTGCGACCCTCCAGACCGTTGTGCCAAACCTGATTTGGGTTATGACCGGGGGGGTGGTGTAGAACCACTGACTTATACTGTAAAACCTACTTGACTTATACTGTAAAACCTACTTACTTCACATTGTCCAAACACCTGTTTCTGCAAGCCCTTCTTCATGGAAGCGAAATTAATGGATTTTCTCACATGTGCACATCCAGAAACTAAAACAGAACATGATTAAATATTGCAAGATAGAATGGTGTCAACATGTATCGTGATACAATTAACCTGTATATTGGGATACATATATTTGCCTACTAATTTTTTGTGAATACGCTGATACAGGCTGTCATGACAGACACCAGTACATTTTATTCATAGTCAATAATATCTCTTTGGTAAATAATTGTTTACATAAGTACAAACTTTTTCATGATGTCCATAATGATAATGAAGTAAAGGAACAGTCAGTCTTTCAATCTACAGGAAAGTCAAATGGAATGCTTGATATGGCTCTTGTGGACTTTTGCCTTTAACATAAATTGTGAACTTAAGCATTCGGAGTATCTAGATGTACAAGAAAATGTGTCATCTGTCCAAAACACCTTACATGGGGAACTGCCCCAGTATCCTAGTGGTTAGAGCATCCGCCTCGGATGCGGGAGGCCGTGGGTTAGATTCCCAGTCGAGTCATACCAAAGAATTACAAAAATGGTACTAAGAGCTGCATCGCTTTGCGCTCATCATTAAGAGGTATGTGTTACGACTGGTCGGCCTGGTGTCAGGGAAATGTGACTGGTTGGAACATCAGGCTACATTTCTACGGCATGATGCCCCAGTTCTAGCCATCACTATAAATTGCCACACTGCAGACATCGTAGCAATATGACTGAAACATTGTTAAAACTACGTTAAAAATCCAAATCACACACACACACACACACACACACACCATACCTGGGTTTTATAGCCCACACAACGGAACTAAAGCAACAAGGGAAAAACACTATACATCGTGTTTATCCCAAATAAACAGATCTAAAGCCACAAGAGAACACACTTTTCATTGGGTTTAGCCCAAATAACCAGGACTAAATCCCAAAGGGAAACACCTTATATCGGGTTTATCCCAAACATCCAGAACTAAAGCCACAAGGGTAAACACCTTACATCGGGTTTAACCCAAATAAAGAGGACTAAAGCCTTAAAGGAAAGCACCTTACATCGGGTGTACCTCAAAGAAACTAAATGATACAAAATAGTGCCTTCATATTTGGATTAATATAATGCACAGTAACACTGATTGTGAATAGCGCTAGAGTACCTGCAGTTTTAGCTGAGGAGTCGGTTACGTCATTCTTCTTCTTTAGAATCTTGTACGTACACTTCTTTCTCTTGCTTACATAATGGCTTGGAAATTCTCTTTCATCAAACAGTCTCACTGAGAATGTGGCAACGGGTTCAAACAACTGCAACAGAAAAATAAATAGAAACAAGGTCAGAGTTACTTCAGACGATAAAATGAAGTTCTTCGTCAATGTAGAGATCCTAAGTGTACCGCATTCCCTCATCGATGTTGCATATCAACCATGAAATCGGACAGTGTGTTGTCCAAGATAAGTGGAAATCAAAAGCGGGATAAAATGACTTTTCAGGGCATAGTGGTTGTATCGTTACACAATGCTGTTGGTATTTCTTTTTTTTTTGCGTAGAACAAGTTGAAATGCATGACTTCCAGCCAACTTTTAAAACAGAATAATTTTTATGAATTAAATGTTAATTTCTTCAAGTCTTCAAGTAAACCAACAGAAAGTTTATTAGTTGAACTTACAGAAAATAATTTCGTTACCATTACCATCCACAACTGTCAAGGATCGTCCAACCATACCAGTCTAAAAGAAACTCTCGTTTTCACGTAGAATCATAGTATAACTCCAGCACAGGAAATGCAAGCATTGTACAAGACATCAAATAACATAAACACGTAAGCTTTATATACTTTGAGCTCACCAAATGACGTGTACTGGACCATAATTCCATGAGCATCAGTCCAACATTTATAGTTGCCAGTGAAGTCTTTACCTACGGTCCAAATGAACCTTACAAGATGGTTAGACACCCTTCTGTTTTTAAATATATACTCGTTATGTCGACGCCCTCGACTCTTAACGGTAAAAGAAAGATGCATAAAATTGTCACACTATTAAATTTAACAGAACAGCAGAGGGAACCCTGAAGTACAACTACATGTAACTGAAAGATACAGAGACCACAAAACAATCTTAATTTGAAGTAACGAACATCAGTCACGATGCATGTAATGTTCAAGCAGGAGTTGAATGTTAAAACAAATGAAATCCAACAGAAAGCAAAGTTCCATGCAGTCATCGCGTTTTAACACGCATGAGGGGCGTATTTATCACCAGAATCATTTAATTTACTGAGGAATATAAAACATTTCCTTTTTTTAAATATAAAATCTTCAAATTTGATTCCACTACATTAAGCAACAGTTTATTGTTTAAAACTGCACATCTAAAGACGATAGAGGATATATTAATGTCATTAATTTTCGCCAGCACAATGATAAAGAAGGCAAGTAAGAAATTATGACCTTCATTTAGCATCCATATGGGCCAGATTGCTCAAGCCAAATGATCAAAACACCCCGTCACGACATGTAACAAAACAACAATACTTGAGATTTTACGAACCTGAAATATTGCTGGTTCTGGTGTTCCATGCCATTGTATATCATCATCATAATCATCGTTATCATCAACATAATCATCAAAATCGTCATCGATGATCTCCTGGAAACAGCAGTGGGAGACAATAGCCACCGTATCTCTGAGCCTTCCCCTAAAGGCCATCTAGTTTCTTAATACTTTACAAAGACCATTTCCGACGAAATACAACATAAATGCCTCTTCTCTATGCGTGTAGTTGATGGCAGCTATGACGTGACGTCTTGGAGACAACAGCATAAAAGCAATTACGTCACGCCGAAAATAACGTGACATCTATGCATGTATAGTCGATGTCACATGATTCTTAAAATTTGGTGTGTGTGTGTGTGTGTGTGTGTGTGTGTGTGTGTGTGTGTTTGCGCGCGTCTGAGATTATCCTTCATGGTGTTCTAAAGTTTCACTTTCTGATACGTATATCAACTGCATGTTCAAACTTTACGAAACAAAGATTACTGGAACATTTTTCATGTTTTAATACCCAAAATAAATCTATATGGCCATCAGTGTTCCTTTGACCAAAACCCATATTCAATGCTAAAACAACATTGATTGGCGTCAACTTAAGCATTTATGCCTTGCATTTTAAATAACTCATGATTATATTGTTTAAATGCCTGGATTCGTCTTTTTTTTTACAAATTCACTCCGATACATAAAAGAAAACTGTGTGTGTTGGGAAATAGGGCAGAAAATTAAATGTATTATTCCGTTGTATTTTTCATTCTTTATGTATATTTAAGTTTCATTGTTTTAGTTTTTTTGTGTTTAAAAAAAATTGGATTTCAATATATGCCATTGCAATATTACATTGTATGTCGGACTTAACGTTGTCAAAAATCAAGATTATTTTCCATTTGACCTGAATTAATTAACTTTATTTGTTGTAATTTTATTATATAAAGCACTGATCCATAACTAAACTATTATCAATATGCATTGCACATTACTAACAGAAGTAATGTTCTTTTTTTTGTGGAGGTGCTACCTTATTGCAATACCTCCCACAATTTTTTCTGTATATATATATATATATATATATATATATATATATATATATATATATATATATATATATGAATATAACCTTCCAGAAAGTTATTAATTATTGCAAAATGAAATGTTAGTTATTATTATTATTATTATTATTATTATTATTATTATTATTATTATTATTATTATTATTATTATTATTATTATTATTATTATTATTATTATTATTATTAGTCTTAGTTCAGTCTGACACTTACAGCCTGATTATGTCTGTGACGTTGAACGTCAATGAGTAGCTCTGTCATCGGATTCATTATAGGTTTGTCTAGGTAATTAATTGAGGAGTTTCATCTACGAATTCCATACACCACCAATGAGAAGCTGTGCCCATTATTTTATTATCCGCTATCAACATAAACAATTCTTCAGAATCTTTGTTTAACACTATAGACACAATTCCAGATAAACAATATCAGGAATGCCACTCATAATATCACTGAGTCTTGAGTTATTGTCAGCAAGATTAATAATAACAGTTGGTGGAATTAAAAAAAAATCATTATTAGCTCTGTTTATGTTTCTACGAAAATTTAGAAACGTTTGTATGTGATTAGGAAACTCAGTTCTAAATGCGGCAATTCCATCATTGATTGTCGTTAACGAAGTCGTTATTGGAATTTCCTTATCGTCGACGTATTTTTTCGTAGCAGCTTCAAAATCAGATTCTGGTGCTCTAAGATTAATAATACCATTATCGTTCATATTGAGAAATGCACGCATTATACCACCGTTGGATAGTACGTACTTTGATTCTTGATCGTCCAAGTATTTTTTTTTTTGTTGTTGCGTCGTTATCTGCGGTTGGGTTTTCGAGATAGGTATTTTTTTTCCTGACATTATTATATCACCACTAAATACATCGCCGGTTTTCTTAACATAGTCATTTACCGACTTACTGGAATCTTGTATTTTACCTTGATCAGCAAAAGTAACGATATTATTAGTAACCGCGGTTGGAATTCCTATAAGTACATCTGGTAGTTGTATGTTGCTCGTTTTTAATCGTCCTTGTTTTTCTTGAAAAAACGACGACTTCATTTTGATCCACACTCGTGATATTTATTAAGTCATCGACTTCATTTCTAAGTTGATCAAGAGTTGCGTATTTAGATAAGTCGACGGTCAAGTATATTAAGTACTTCTCCACCACATAGTGTGGGTCCGTTATTGTTTGTGTTGGTAGCGTTGAATACCAGATCACAGCAATTTTATTACTGACATAATGAAGACATTCTTTTGGTGATGCCAACCCATACGAATCGAAAATAAATAATTCCACGTGGATCAATTGCATATGCTACCCAATGCGTGCCAGGTCCAGAGCTTTAATCGAGATTAATAATACCGGTTTCAGCATTGTTAGGTTGTTTTGTTAATTGATCGCGCATAACAACTTCTCTGAATTTTTTTATTCTAAGTTGCTTAGCTGCATCAAGTAAATCAAATTCGATAGTGGAACTATCATCTAACTGTTCCTAGTCTTAGAACCTTTCAGTATCACGAAGGCGGGGTTCCCGGAAGTCTTAGACCTTTTCCGTACCACGAGGGCGGTGTTCCTGGAAGTCTTAAACCTTTTCCCTTTTTTTGTGATTCACTGTCCAGTTGCTTTCTTTAACGCCATTCCAGCAGCGGTTCCAACAGAGCCTAACGCAGCTGATTTTGCAACAGCTGGGCTGCAGCGGCTATTAATGCTGGTATAGCTGCGAGAAGTGGAAATATACCACCCGATTTAGCAATGACTTTAATAACCGCTGCAGAAAGATTAAAACGTACCCCAGTCTTTGATCGTTTGGCTTCTTTAAAGTGATTATACTGACGATCGGTCAACGATAGCTTATTCGGACCACCTGCGATTTGTTCTTTTTTTAATGATATTTTTACCCCAAGATTAGT